GCGATGGGTGTGAGTTTCTTTGGCTTAATAACTGAGTCAATGTGGTAACTTGTTGGCGGAGCTCTTCAAAAGCTTCGGTGGTAATGACAGCCGGTGGCGGTGCTGCCATCTCTGATGATTCCTCTTGAGGGACAGGATGATCTCCAAGGGGAGGATTTGGAACGGATGAGCTTGCTGGTGGAAGACCTGATCGTGTATTCACCATGGCTTTTGGTAGCGCTTCCCACAGACGGCGTCAATGATGCTACCAAAAAATATCACCTGAAAAATCTTGAGCTTGATGGTCTAACTTCACTTTGATGAACACAATCGGTCTGTGAATATATGCAACAAAGGCAACGAGGTGTGTGCTCGCCGCCCCTTCGATGCTTAAGTTAGATAGGGAATTTAGTGCGTGAGGCTATAAACTGAAGATAATGAAAACGTACCATGATGTTGGGCCTTGGCCAAGTATTTATAGGTGTTGGTGGGGGAGCTGTAGAAGGATTCTATTACTGAAAGAGTCATTTTCCCCTTAGGACTAGGTGTTGGAGTTTGATTAGAAGTATACTGTTAGAGTTCTAATCAGGGAAGGAGTAGACTTACGTGGGGTCTATGTTTTGGAGATTAGGTCGGTAGGTAGGGTCTGATTAGAAATAACCCCGACCTTAAGGAAACCCCGACCTCAAACCGGTGTGACACGCTAAGATCAACTCGAGGGCCATAGGTCGAGGTCGAGCATCGTGGGCAAATTGAGGTCTAGTTCGGGGTTACCAATCCGGAATCATCACTAATCATAATTCCTTTGATTTAGAATAATCTATTCAGAATCTAAACTGAAGAAATAAGAGAATTTTTTACCAAAAAAATTTAAGTAATTTTTATAATTCATTTTGTGTTCAACCTCAGACTTTTTAAATAGGTAAATTACTTGCATTTATTACTGAAATCCCCCTTGATTAAGTGATTATCGTAGTGATACATGCACTGATTCTTGGGTATATATAATCTGGGAAGAATCTTAATTTACTAAATAAGAAAAATGTAAACATTCACCTTTCCTTTAGAACGCGCATACTATAAACTTCATTTGTGCTTGGTTTTTTAACATGGATAGGAACCGACAATATTAAAAAAGTTAAAATTTTATTTATTATAGTATTTGGTCGAGTTCAATCCCGTTTGTCCCCTAGATAATTTGTATAATTATTTGGGCCTCTCAAAATAAGTGAAACATCTAAATCAATAGCTTAAAAGCTTCCTATTTAATTTATTACAATAGTAATACATGTACATGGTTATGAACTGATAATCAGGGTCCAGGGATGACTTTTAATTGATTTTTTTTTTTTTTTTTTTTTTTTTTTTTAGCGGTTTGCGGATGACTCCTTAATGGATCTGAGTAGTCTACATTTTGTGGATTACCTGTCTGTTACGACAAATAGTTACATAGAATGGACCAATCATAAAATGCTAAAGTGTAGCCTCTTTTGGTGCCCGGAAACCAACGTAGATCAACCTGGTTTCCAACGACAGTACAGAAACTAAAAGTCGTGTGGATTTGTTATGTGCGATATACCGACGACTCTTTCTTCATTAGATCTTCAAGAGAGAATCGAAGCTAAAAACTGCGCCAAAGTTTTAGACACAAGAAATTAAGATTTTTATCTAAATACCATCGTCGACCAATTTTGTGGAAAAGAAGTAGAAATTTTTTTGTTGGCGATTGTATTATTGCATACCTAACATTCCTTTTGCTTTGATAGGATAGTCAATCTTACCACTTCTAAAAAAATACACAAGGCGTGGAACAAATAACAAGTCAGCCAAGCTGTGAACATTCCGTAAATAAGTCTTGTTTACCATGCACAAATGATTTTTTTTTTTTTTTGGGGGTATTTGTTACGGATTCGATCCTAAGTCAATTGTCTTAAGTTGTCTTCAAAGCCAAACTTAAATGATACAACCGAAACCTTATCAAGCATATAGATCTAAATTTTTGAGTTAAAAAATAGCCTTAAGTTCTATCGTTCTCTCAATCTCGTGTCCTCATATATTCCATGCTTTTTTATTTTCTAGAATGGTTTATAAGAATAATTTCACATAGCAAAAACGAACAAATATCAACTCATCACCTAACTATAGGCATTTTTCTTTTTTTTGGGGGGGTGGGGTGGGTTTCAAGATCGTATTTTCGATCTTTATATTGACACGTTTTTTAATGTGCACCCAACCACCCCATTCCCTTTGAAATAAAGAAGAAAATTTCATTGAGTTGTTACTTGTACAATTATTATGCTTTTATGTTGACAACTCAATCCATTGCCCCACACTTTTGTGGCCCTTAAAGGCTTAAACAACGTTGGACCATAAAGAAGATTTAATTTTTGGTACTAGCTCAAGCAACTTGTTTTACAGGATAAGTCCCATTTAGTTAAAAAAAATAAAATAAAATAAAATAAAAATTAAGCAAAATGAATAATTAATTTTATCCACTCATTTTATGAGTCACACAACTTTTATCAATTTCATCAATTTATCTCAAAATTGAGCTAAGATATTTAACGAGGGTAGGCTAGAAATAATGTTTTGATCTTTATAGATAGTAGGAACTAGGAAGGCCAAATTAATCCAGAATTTGGTAGGTTCACCTCATAATCGTGTTTATCACACAAGAATCAAGTCATTCACTAATTAACAAATTTAACACGTGTATTAAATTATTAATCTTCGATAAGTAACTTCCTTCTTTTCAAACCTTTTTTTTTTTTTTTATGTAATATGAGAAAAATGTGAGATTTTCTAATATAATTGAGTTGGTCCATTTTGGAAGGCTCGATTTGTGAAAAGCCATGTGACATATCGACCAACGCACCCTTGAGCATCGGCACGAGCCAAAAAAAATAATTACGTAAAATTTGTATATTAAAAATAATAATAAAAATCCACACACACAAAACAATTAGTTCGGCTCATTTTATTTCCATCTATCTTGATACGCACTTAATTTGTGCAAATGCTTCTTGACATTTTTCTTTGAAATTCTATTAGTTTCAATTTTATAGCACATTATGTTGAGAAATACACCGATTATGTGCATATTATATTCATAAAACGTAACTTACACGTTCACGAAATCGAAACAAGGAAAATAGAATTTGAGAAACTAACCAATGATTATTGAATCTGACAATTTCCGTTCTTGAATTAAAACATGTGATTCTTCATATCGAACCTTGCATAATCCATATAAATAAAATTAATTATTTTCTAAAATCAAGTAGAAATGAAATAAAAAAAAATTAGATGTAAGTGATGCGATTGACCGAGGCGAGTATAATTCCTTCATTAAAATGAATTTGCCCCGCATCGGTGCTAACGATTTTCCAACAATCATCTCCCAAAATATAACGACAACGTCAAGCCATGGGAGCACTCCAAATGATTTCAACCAGCGAACTCGAACGAAATTTCCTCTCTACCAAGGAAATACATGAAAATGCTATGAAATTAGAAATGAGAGAATTGCAAGAAGAGAATGAAGCTCAATGCAATTGGTGTACCCAAAACTGTCCCTAGGGTCCTATTTATAGATATAAAAAGGGTGCAAATGAAGTAGTGTGGGGCAAAATATGCATCCTTTCGAAAAGTTACAACACTTGGCCAAAACATGCATCCTTTCGAAAAGTTGCAACACTTCATTTCTTTCAACTTTGATCCGCAATTTCTCATTCATTCGGAATTGGTTTCGAAATTTCAAATATACCATGACGATCTACTCGACAAGTAGAATAAGTTGATCTATTTACTTTTGTTATTTGACCATCGGATCAAGTTCGAATATTTGCTCGAACTTGACACGTTGTCACACCTTTTCATTTTCTACTTTTACACACATTTTTATTTTCCAATTTTTGGTTAATTATTTGAACCAATTCTTACACATTAATCTCCAACGATTTGTTTCCATCTATGTCGCAAGTAAAAGTTCAAATTTTTGTTGATAATACATATTTTCAATACAATTAAAAAAAATAAAAATAAAGTAACAAAATCGAAATTTAAATATAAATTTTTTTTAACCCACCTACTCACACTCCTCTCTGACTTGCTGGCCAGTTGAGAAACGGTTATTGATTTGCGTGGTCCTATTAACAGGGTACAAATATAGAAAATTGCAGTGGAGGTCGAAACCTAATTAAATTTTGCAAATGGTTTTCAGTTTTTATTTTTTATTTTATTTATTTTTATTTTCTTGAGATTCACATAATTTCAAGTTTAAATCACACTTAATTTCTTTCCTGAATTTCAGATGAATTTTTTGGTTCCGTAGAAGCATCAATGATGAAACTAAACTAACTCATTGATGTTAAAATGTCAATAATCGAAAAATATGTTGGAAAATTAGTAGAGTGACGACCTTATAAACCAAAAATTACTTGGCATCAAGGGAGTCAAGCAGGTCCATTACATTGTCTAACATAACATTGTGATAAGGGTAAGTCACTTTTCACAACTCCAATTATTCTTACATAAATTTTATTAAAATCCTAACTATATTTATGACATCCCATTTAATCCATGTACACATTCTCCTTCTCTTGTTTCAAAAGTGACAATTTTTCATGGTGGCGGAGTGAATTGCCAGATGGACTGTAATATTCGGGTAAGATGTGTTCGAGTGATTCAATATCACAGGATTGAATGCACATTTTCATTCTCAATGATTATATTTTCGTTTTTCATGTTCCTTTTCTATGATTGTTTTCATACAATTCAACAATTTGGGACCTACCAAATTAAATCTCTCAAAATGTTATTGTGACTTTCTACAACTCCTTATCTTGAAAGTAATCTCGTGTACGTTAATTTTACAAGAATCTTAATCCGATAGGAAAGAGAGTTTCTAATATCTTGAACTCGACTATACCAAAGTTTCTCTTATTTGTATTCGCTGCTATTCCACGAGAAAGTTTCGAATCAACATTAAAAGTGTACCAAAGAGGCACCACGCTGCATTCTTGCCAGCTAAATAATGTTTTATATACCTCATTCATTTTCTCCAATTTAAAGCCAAACCAAAGAGAGTATATACAGAGCATTGGTTCAAACTAAAAGCCTAATACATAATAACTACAATGTTTAGTCTTAGAAAAAGGAAATATAAAGTCATCATTTCACCACTTATCAAATGAACAAAAGAATTCCCAATCACCATAATAGGCAGATGTTTTTCTTTGTAGACCTCGAACACAGAACAAAATATTGTCTAGATGTGAAAAACCATTACTTCCTGGGTCTGAGAGACTAGAGACCTCTTGAATTTAGGTATCATCGACTTGAGAGTGAAATACAAAGCTCGGGAATGTGGTGGTAATGTCTCTGTCCATTAAAGAAAAATCAGATTTTGTGGCCTAGAAATAGAGTTCAATGCTTCAAAGTTGCAAATTAACTGGGAAAGAAGAATTCTAGTTTTACTAGCAAGAATTACCCCTGTATAAGCTCTTTAAACCTAAATATGCTTTTAGAGATGTGAGGCAAATCCTTATAACACTACTGATGCTTGGTAGAGAAAATAAAAGCCGTCACTAGCACCAGATTTAATTTCCATGAAAAATGAGATGACAAAAAGCATAGAAGTACTGTCGGAAAATAAAAGTCAGGATATAATGAGTCTGTCAATGAATGCACCCAATCCCACTTCCACAGAAACTAACCCCCTGACAACATTAAAAGTCTTGTTTGCATTTGTGTGTGCGTATGTTTTGTGTTGGAGGAGCATGTAATATTGGATCCATTAAAGACAACTCGAAAAGGCCCCGTGCCCGTGTCCCTTGTGAACTTGGATGCATGCGACTCCATAATGGCACATAATAATCGAAAACTCAATTTCAATAGATCTAGTGAAACTCATCGATTTCAGATTGGGCCTGCTAAGTGATCAATTGTAAGGAGAGGCCAACTTAAAGTGTATCTTTGGTAAGAAATACTGGACTTCTTGACAGTTTAATGAACAAGATTCTAACTTATTTTTCTTTTTTAATATGTCCAATACTATCCAATTCTCCCTACCAAAAATGTCAAAAGGTCATAAAATCACATCGAGATATGCAAACTTACTTGAGGTATTGAAGAGTCATATTCTTCAAGAGAGATGAATGTCGCATTACAAGATTCCGCCACTCTTCTTTGTCAATTTTCCCATCATGTTTGGTGTCAGCTTCCTCAAAAGTCTGAAACAAAGAAGAGATATATCATCTCATGATTAGCACCTGTGTTCATGGGCAAATTGTGGAAACTCATTCCAAGGTATTCATGCCAGCACAATCAGGGTTTGATTGCATCTGGTATTATAGAAAGCTTCAAAAGGTCTGTACGAACTCAAGACTTGAATCCCTTATTATAAATTAGGTGCACTACCATGGCTTTATATGGACCCCCAAGAAGTCCTAATGCCAGAGTTTTATTAGTTACCTACCAAATCAGTAAGAATGGCTTTGACATGGAAAGCACATGATTTGACCCCGCAAGAACCCTATTCCAGAAGTTCCAAAGTCAGTTTTCTTAAATAATGACTTGCGGTAGAAATGCAAGAAATTGGGTATAATATTCATCTTCCAGTTAGATCTCTTTCATTCTTTGCCACTCAGAAATCCATACAGTCACTTTGAAGTGAAGCATTCTTGAGTGCTCCATCCTCAAAGAATGTGTCAGTTATATTGCTTGGAAGAAGAGAATATCAATGTAAATACAAGTTTCCAATTCATGAAGTAAAATGCCCACTTACTGAAAAATAAAGCGAAAAAGAAATAAACCTCAACTAAGCATGGAAATGAAATAGATTTGAACAAAATCAACCAGCCTAGAGGTTCACCTTGTCGATAATACTTTCTATTACATCGTCAGAAAGATTCATGCCAGATTCTGCAAGTGTGGCCACTACCATTTGCTTTACCTACGAGGAAACAATGAAATATCAAAATCTGAAACGTATTGAGTTCTGAACTGGGACACTTACTGCTGCCATAGAGCTTAGCTATCATCCAGCAGCATCCCCAACCCAAACTTAAAAGAACCAGAAATTGTAAAACGGAATACCCAATTACCATAAAAGGCAAATTTTAAACTCCTTTTTCCTTGTAAAAGTAAAATCACCCTCATATTTGTACAAAAACTACAATGAATACAATATTTAAAGATGGACTCTGTCAAATCTTCAAAATTACCTCCTGTCTTTCAATGAATCCTTGCTGCTTGAGATCATATAATTGGAATGAAACTGCAAGGGAAAAAGTCAGGCATCACCAGCTTGAATCAATACCAGCGTCAGAATGTAATCCCGGGTTTAATGAAAATAAATAAATAAACCAAATTGCATAAATAGACAATTAAAATCACCAGCATGCTATGTTGCTTTACAAGCGAAAGTCTAAGAAAATAGAAATAAAGAGTAAAAATGGTAGAGAAATAACAGCATAAAAGGATGAAACTTACAATCAATTTTATCTTCAATGGGAGCATTGGGGTGAAAGACTGAAAGAGCGCGCGCAAACTCGTCAAAGTCTAATATCCCATTGTGTTTTTTGTCAAACAAATCAAATACCTGGAGTGTAAACAGATTTTGAGGTAAATAGCAATCAAAAAGGCTCCTGCAACACCATTATCAGAAACTCAACAAGGCAACACACCCATTGAAGTAGCACTAGGGAGCAAATGCATGACCTCCCCAGACTTCCAAAAAGTTCAACGTCTCAATTAGGTACACACACCCACTCAAACAAGTATGCAGCTTAGGATGTGTTAGGGAGAAAATAAATTCATAACACAATGGCTTTGACGATGGACATTGGATGTATCAACTAATTTGCGCAACAAGTGAAAACTAACCCGATCAGCAAACAAACTCTCCTTTTTGTTTGTTTTAAATAAAGCAAGTTGGAACTCTTCCTGAAAATGAAGAAAGCAGAAAATACCAAACGAAGATTCAGTAACTGAACCAGAGACAAAATAATAATCACAAGGAAAATGTAATTTATGATACTGATACGAGGATGCAAAGAAATAAAGTAACTAATTAACTAAATTTAACTAAAGCCTAATAGATAACATTTGTTACCTTGTTGATGAGCCCATCATCAATCACAGCACTGCTGATCTTCTTAAATAATTCATACAATGCTTCTATTTCACTGACACTGACTGCATTTGAGTTTCAAAACAGAAGTCCTAATTAGAAGAAAATCACAGTTCTTAATTAAAGAAACACACAATCAGAAATTAGACACAATCTGCAGGATGATATTGCATTTAGTCTCCGTGACCAATTGCACTACATGTTATAAGAAAAAATATGCAGTGCCATGCTGACAGTTACTTTTGCTCTTCAGCTTAAATTTAATTCCTGACAAACCAAACAACAGCCTCAAAAATTACAAAAAAAAACACCATTGGGAAAATAATCCCAAGAGAAATTGCACTTTGACTGATTACAAATAATGGTACAACAACCACAAATAAAGCCTTATTCTCAATGAATTTGGGGTCGATTATATGAATCCTTTTTCGTTATTCCATTCGATCTATAGCTGTCTCTACATAAAGATGCAATGCAAGCAAAGTATTGATAACTGCATCACAGCTTGTTAATTCTAATTTAGCTCTTCCTCTTACCTGTTCTATTAGTACCGCACAGTTCTTGTGAATGGGAGCTTCTTTGGGTCTAAGCAAGACACAGCTCAACCACCTAACTCATCATTCCCTCAATTTTCCCTCAATTGGTGCCAGCTTCATTTTTGGCATACATTTTCATCTCTTACTCTATCTAGTTTCGTAAGATCACATAAATTATCTAGTTTCGTAAGATCACATAAATTATCTTAACATCATCATTCCTCTTGGTTCATTTTTATAGACATTTTGTCCTTAATAGCCAGACAGTCGATACCATTAATCATAGTTGGTACAAGAAGCATATCGTATAACTTGCACTTTTACTTTATAGAGGTATCTTTTTTGCCACATAAAGCACTTCTCATTTCATCCGACCAGCTCCTATGCATTAAATTCTCTCAAGCCTGTTTCCTTACTAATATTCATACTTCTATGCCTAAAAGGCTAAAATACAATCCATCATTGGGATTATAGACGATCATTCTTATTACGAAACTGACTCATGAAAATGGGATCGGGTTAGAGGCTCAGCCAATTCAGTTTCTATATCAAGAGTATGCCCAGCTGACATACAAAAAAGATATTAATAAATAAGAAGATTATTATTATTATTATTTTTCCCATTCTTACACTTTAATGGTACAAAATTCTCAATTTTTTTATTTTTTATTTTTAAATTTTTTTTACTACAACCTCCACAAAAACAACTTCTTAATGATGTTCCAGGGATGTCCTGTTAGCTTTGGTAAGTTTCCTAACAAGCTACTCAATAACAAATCATAACCCTTTTTGGAATTTTTTAAATTTTGTTTTCCAGCACTTTTCCAATTATGTCAAAGCTTTAAATAATTTATGTCCCCCATTCTGGTGGGAGGGGGATCACATTGCTACAAATGGTTGGTCCTGTCTTCATCAATGTTGGCACAATATGAATGGAAGGCAAGTAACAGCCACAAGAAAAGGGGCATATCTTCGTTTCACTTATATGCAGAAAATTAAACTCGTGCATTTTGTGCTAGCCTTTCATGTAATGAATCTTTCTATCAGCTCTACAAATATTTTCTACTAAACCTCCGAAAGAATGTCACCCAACAGTTATCGGCCCATTATTTCTAAATTTGTAAAACCAAATCCATTTCCACACACATAACTAATACTAATGTGGTCTGCTATTCCTGCTGGCAGATCCAACCACAAGATGATTATGGTTTCACTTCGCCACCACTATGTTTTCCATGTAAGTACGGTCAACAAAAATCTGCTGCCGAACATAATACCTGAAAACTTTATTCCCAGGACAGATTAGTTTCGGAAATATTAAATATTTGATGCGTAATTGAGGGACGCAAGTCCAACTAACTCGTTTAATATTTCCTTTATGGGCATTTGTTTTCCCCTATGGGCTCATTGTCTTGGTGAGCATATTTGTTTATTATTGCCAGATCTGCACAAGAATATTTTTAGGAGCAACTGCCAGGTTGGCTAGCTCATCAGTTCTGTTTCAATATCTCATAAATCCTCTCAGCAATTTTTTTAACAGGTATTTGATGGGGACCAAGAAGAAATTGATTGTGAGATCCCATTTAAATGATATCTATACAAAGAGCAGAATTGTAAAACAGAGGCAGGTAGCAACTATTGAGCACTCAACTACAGCTTAAAAATTGAAAATATTCAGATAAGATAATGACATACACACAGTCTCCCTTGCGAGAGCTTCAGGATTTTCCAGGCCCCCTGGTTGCTTATATATTTCAGAATCGCAGCAATTCACAACAGCAGAAAGCAGATGCTTCACTCCGTCTAAGCACTGCACCATGATCTTTTCTGGGAATCAATATGCTCCATTCCTGGACACCAGTGAAGTCAAAATTCTTGATATCCCACAAAGCAGAATAAATAAAATCAAAAGTCAGATAACCTTTTGTTTTGACATGCAAGCAATTTATGAATCCTTCCAAAAACCCAAGGAAGAAAATCAACACGAAAAGTGCAATAAAATGGTCTGAGATGGATTGACATATTATTATTGTCAAAACCACAGCTAACAAATAGTTTCAAAAAACTCTGATGGCTTACAGGTTCAGTTAAGGTTGGAATTTGTTTTGGCCATTCTAACTCGACAGAATTGATATTCCACATATGGGTGCATTAAGTGTTCTGAAGATCATAAGCAGTCCCTTCATCCATTTATTTTGTTATTTTGTACCTCAACCATTAGGAAAGACCTGTTCTGCATGACACTACAGTTAGGGCTTAAAGGTGCTTTTTCCTGAATTTACACAATGCAATAAGTGACATCTCCGGGTATGATGGTTCAGCATTTCATATAACAGTAAACGACAATACAGCAGTGCCAAATTAGAGCGAAGTGAACAGTGAGCATTAATGACATCAAAAGTATATTTTTTGACTTTGGCCATAATTCCCCATTTGGGGTTCCAGTCGACACTTAAAAGATAAATCAAACTCTAGATTGTGAAAGTGTTTCATCAAGAAAATTCCTGAGCTGAGTATGCATTAATGTTCAGATGTGTAGCTATCTTTGAAATTTATATGGCATGAGGCCATGAGAGAGTCAACTGTACATTTGAAAGCATTTACTATAGCCATTCAAATTCCTAAACAAGCAATTATTACTTTAATTTCACAATTATGTGATTCAAAGGCTTATTACAAACCCATTACAGATTCACCTCCAAGTCCATGTCTGTGATTATACGGCTATGATGCACCGACTGGGTTGGATAAGTCGACACGCGATTTTTCAAAAAAGTATTGACACTACACGTCTTCGACACATTCATTAAATTCTTTATTTATATATTATAAATTTAGTTTTATACTTGTTGTTAATTTTTTTTGTTAAAATCTTTTAAATATGAGTATCTATTTGTTATAACTTTTAGTTATATTTTTAGGAAAAAAGGGAAATGATTATATTAGAGTGTCCGAGGGGTCTCGGAAATGACACGTATCCGACATGGACGTGCTATCCTAGTGCAAAAAGAAAGCTAAATAGATCTCAATGCAACGGGACTGGGAAGGACAAGAAAACTCGAAAAAATTTAAATTACTTGGAGCAGAAACTTATAGCTGCTCATAGAGAAATAATTACAAGTTAAGACTTCCATTTTAAAAGGTCAACCTTTTTAAGAAAGTAGCTCAAATTCTTATAAGTTGGTCTATATTTCAGTATTTAACCGATATGGGATTTATCCTTTTAACATTAAATGGAACACATATCCATTTTAAAAAGGTCACATATCCAAAAAAGATTTGATCTTACTACAAATTTAGCTCTTACCGCTGGGATACACATGAGGAATGAGAACAACCCCAAGAAAGAACAGTTTAACCCAGTGAATTACAGTAAATTTTCCGTCTAAATTGGGAAACTGAGAATGGGCTAAGGGAAACTGAGAATGGGCTAACATTGAAATATTTCATGCAAAATCAATTGAAAAAAAGCACAATTTAAGAGGTGAAAAGCAGACAAACAACCAAAAAAATCAAATTTTTACACAAATAGCATTGTTTCGACAACATTTTCCACTTCGATCCAAGAGCTGAACCACCGGATCCATTCCAAAAAAAATTTCAAATTCCGCACTTCCACGGAACATCAAAATCCAACAAGAAGAAAACCCTGCCAATATGATCACTATATACAGTTATATGCATCTCTCTATACATTCAACCATATGCATACATATCCAACAGAAGTACAAAAAATGAAGTACCTTTTAGAAAAAAATGCGATGATGGGGAAACAGAACATTGTGGATTCTGATTCTGAATCACTTTTCCCTAAAAAGTTTGAAAATTAGATTGCTAACTTTGATCAATTGTGGGTTTTTCTGAATTTCAATTTTTTCTTTTTAAAAAACAAAAGGTAAACAGCAAATGACTGGGATTGATTACTGAATAGGAAAAAATATAAAATAAAATTAATGATTGATAGAAGAATGATTAAAAAGATAAAAAAAAGGGGGCAAATTCTGGTACGGAAACCTAGAGAGAGAATAGGGGCGGAGGTGTAACAGTAAACATTGAGCTTTATATATATACTGTGTGGGCAGTGATTGTGGCTGAGGCAGTGGTGATTTGTTGGCAAACGCTGGTGTTTTTTCTTGTGTGGTGACACAGCACGAGATTAATGTGGACTTGCCGTTTTGTATGTTCAAAATGTACTAGTCACAGACTCACAGGTGAACGTCTGCCGCACATTTATTCTGAAATGCTTTATAATATTATAAAAGTAATATTTAAAAATATGTAAATATAAAAATTAGTAAAATAAATTTGTTTTACGTGAAATGAACTTTTTATTCAACGAGAATTTATTTGTACACTATATTTTTTGTGTGATTATGAGAATCTGACTTAATTAAGACTAATTGTTCTGCCAACTTGGATGTGCCCTGGGGGGCACATTGAGCTTTATATATATACTGTGTGGGCAGTGATTGTGGCTGAGGCAGTGGTGATTTGTTGGCAAACGCTGGTGTTTTTT